GTCATGAACTTCATGAAGGCATGAACTGCTGTTGCCGTGTGCTTGCTTTACAGAATATGTCCAGTTACTTTAGCCTGCTTTGACAGGAGTTGACCAGCTTTTCAAATGCAATATAGTTTCTCCTGATGCTGGGGTCACATCACACATTCTTTCCAATTCTCATGTAATTTCAGTGATCTCACCATTAACATCTTGCAAATTCTCACTCCAAAGCCCAAGGGATATGTAAAAATATCAACATCTCACAAGATTTGGCAATTTGTGAGATTACAGCCATTAAAAAAAAAAAAGCCTGTTAAATTTATATATATGGATTTCTGATCTAACCACTCGTATGGTAAGCCATCCATAAATTCTGCATAAAGGACACCATATTATTTACTTCTTCACTTGTGAACTTTGGAGGGAGTCCTATCAAGGGCATCTGAAGAAGGGATAAAAAATTAAGACCTGCCCATTTTTATGTGTGTTCAGGGGGGAGGCTTCAAAAATTTTAGCAAGGGGTTCTCTGCCCGGTTGTGGGTGGGTGTGGCCATGGTAGGCATGGCCTAGTCAGCCACCTGCACCATGGCCAGGGAGGGCAAAATGGGCGCATTTCCGGTCTTCCCAAACTTCCGGTAGGCCAGTTTTTCACCCTCCCCAAGCCTCTGCGCGCGCCTTGCACTTACCTGCATCCAAAACAGGCCGCATGGGGACTCCTAGGAGGGCGGGGTGGGTGAGCGGGGTCAGCCAGGATTTGGGATTTGGGGGTTCTCTGAACTGCACCAAATCTTAGCTAGAGGTTCTCCCGAACCCCTGTGAACCCCCAGCAGTCCATCGCTGTGTGTGTTGCATTGTGTGTTAAAAAAAGATTGTTGCTGACTACCAGTTTTCCTGGTTTAGAAAAAGGGTTAGATCAATTCATGGGAGTCCTCAGGTTCCAACGCCATTACTTTTAATGGCAGTGTGACTACTTCTGAAGGCCATCTGCTGGAGACTAGTAGGCTACTAATTTGTGCAGCTGTTGATCTCTAGGAGAACAGATTTCTGAGTTAGACAGGCCAGGGATCCAATCCAGAAGGATACTGATGAATGATGATGGCTTTAAATTTATTGGCCACCCAATTCAGTTATGTTCTAATGCTTATGTTCTGTTATCTTTTTATGATTGCAGCAGTGGTTGCCATCTTGACGGTTTTTTTTTTTTAACACAATTTCACCACCCTGAGGAGGTCCTTGGATCCTACATTGTATTGTATTTTTTAACTGGCTTTGCAAAATTTTCCCTCTCTTTTATGGCCCTGATGTCTTTTAGAGACAACTCTGATGTCTTTTAAAAAATCTTTCTGTTTGGTTTTCTCTTGTCTTTCAAAGGGGCTATTTTTATCTTGTAATTGTATGTCTATATAGCTGTCAACTGCTTTTAAGATTCTTATAATGAATAATAGGATAAAAGCCTAGGTAAAATTTTCCTTGGATCCAGCACGTCTATGGAAGTGAATTGTGGTTGGTGAAAGGAAGGAAGGAAGGAAGGAAGGAAGGAAGGAAGGAAGGAAGGAAG